ATGCATATATCATGATTGTAGTTAATGGAGAGGAAATGGTAAATTGGTCAGGTGATATGTATGTGAACGTTGCACAAACTTCAGTAACAACGCGAGGAAGAGGTGGTGAGGTACTTTATACAATACAATACTGGCTTATACATTTAGAGCCAGAATTCCTCTTAAAAAACAATACTCCAGGTATACCTTGGATATGGGAAATACGAGCATCTAGGGAATCATTGACAGTAAGAGTTAACATGATGTTTCTGGTAACTGATTATGTTATGCGAGATATTATAATGAAGCCTAGTCTTGTAGATATCCAGGGAGGAAAGGAAAAGACTTAGATTAACATGTAGTACACATATAAGTTTACCCCCTGAGTCTGTAATCACATGGAAAAGGGAAGGAATGTTTTTTTATACAACGCCAAAGGTTATTCACAGAGGTGTACTAGTAAAGGTGGATTGGTCGGAAGAAATGTTTGTTTTCTATTTAGACAATCCTACCTACAGTGATAGTGGAAACTATCAATGTTGTTTAATGTTAAGAAATCATCATGAGAGATGTGGTGATGTTAAGGTAAATGTATTCTCTCCCAGAATGGTAGAATGCAAAAATAAGTTTTTAAGTTATCAAGTCCCTTTCAATTGAATCATTTTCAATCAAAGCCTTTGTTATTAGATGGGAAATTTGCAACAATAGTTTGGCATTTCAATGTTTCACAGTGGAAAATCTCAAGTAAATTTCCACAATGTAAGGAACATTTATTAAATATGGAACGAGGCTTAGAACATTGGTTTGGAGGAAGTAAAGTATCAAACAGAAAAAAAAGAGATATAGTAGAAGGAATTATGGCTGGATTTGGTTCTATAGGAAGTATCACCAATTCTATGGATATTCAAACATTAAAGAATGATTTGGGAACTGTAGGGTTAATAGGGGGAAAAGGATTGCATATTCAAAGAGGTTTAAATCAAATATTGAAAAATATGGTTATGAACACAGCCTCTGTTATTGCACCCTCTGTCCAACATTTACAGGAAGCTACTTTGGCATTAATGAGAAATGCAGATTCATCCCAGGTAGCCAAAGCTTGTTTAGAGACACAAGTTGAATATTCTACAGATTTTAAGGTGATGGCACAAGCATTACAAGGTGGTACTACTCCTATAGAACTCAAACGTAGTTTACCTGAGGAGTTTGCGTTCGCTAAAAATCATACAGATTTATGGGTTAACAAATGGTTGGGATGTAACAATGATATATGTATAAGTTCTTCTTTAATACCAATTTCTGGTACTGAAAACACACTATTTTCAATGTCGGTATTAGGAATTCCTATTAGTAACACACAATTATTATTTTATAAATTACAATATCCTGATTTTGTATTTTATAATAACATTACTGAACTTGAGCAGGTAGATCTTTCTAGTTGTCTACATTTTCCATCCAAAATAATATGTTTAAATAACCAAGTTGAAACCATTTATCATTCATGTTTTCATAACCAAAGTTCATGTTCTGGTAAAATTAAAACAGTTAAAAATCCTCATGAAATTGTAACTCCCATAGAAAAAGACAAAGTATGTGTACAGGTTATGTCAAATAATGAGTTAGTAAGAGCTACATTTTCAGAATGTACACATTCAGAAACATTACAGAAAGGGTTATATTGTATCAATGGGGGTCCACTAATAATGCATATTCAAGGAACTCAAGTTAACATATCGAATAGTCCTATACAAGAGATAGATATTATGCCTATTCAATTAAATGTTTCACAAACAAATGAGTTTCCATGGAGAAAGTGGGCAGATGAGATTAGGAAAGACAAGATATTATTATATTCATTACAAAAACAGTTGAAAGAAACAGAAATTCAATTTGAACATGAACAGGGTAAATTAAAGGTGATAGAACATGAATGGTCAATTGTTTCTAGTTCCTCTTGGTGGAATTACATAATTAAAAGTACAAACACACTTGCTAAATCATCTGTAGGATCAGCAATTGTAAATATTTTATTTCATCCATTTATTATTGTTGTATATGTATCTATAATATGTATTGTTTTACAAGTAATTATGCAATGTAGAATTAGAAAACTGTATATACTCATAAATGAAAAGGTAAAACAAAAGGAGAATACCCTAAAGGAAACTGTAAACAGGGTAATACACAATACTTCCAAGGAATCTCAGATACCGGGTAGCTATGAACACATCTCTTCTTATACCCAACGAATGTGATATGAAATGTGATACGAATGATGTATGAATGGACAGGTAAATAACATTATTATGGTTTATAAATAAACCATAAACAGAGGGAAATGTAGAATATTGCATATTCTGTATGTTCCTATTCAAATACATATTAAAGTGTGGCTGTCTAATGGGTTAAACAGAACAGATGGTGTTTGCTACTCTGTAATATGAGGTCTCTGGAATTTCCTGTATAAGAGATTTGAGGCGGTCTTTATATAGGGAACTTCCTTATATGGCAGGGTCTAAACTAAACATTATGACGTAATTTAGGGTATATAGAGTCAAGGACAAAGGATTACGGGCTCTCTTCCTGCTACGATCCGTTTGCTCTCCTCTCTGATGTCAAGACGACTCTCTGTAACATCGTTAAGAATTACCATCTGTTAAGTATATATAACTGTTTCCTGTTGAATGTAGAATAAATACTCATTATTTATAAAGAACGTCAGATTGTGTATTACTAATTTTCAATAATATAGACATATATTATTGTGGCGAGCATTTGGCCCAAGACTATATATACAAAAGACGTATATATATCAATCAACTGAAGATAAGAAGAAATATCTATATATATATACATAAAAGACTTAGTCAACTAAAGAAAAACACAGCCAGTTATTACAGTGACAGATGGGGTGACAGTGTGAGGTGGCAGGGTGAGGGGGGTGACAGGTGGTGTGGCAGTGTGAGGTGGCAGGGTGAGGGGGAGTGACAGGGTGAGAGGGGGTGACAGGGTGAGAGGGGGTGACAGGGTGAGGGGGTTGACAGGGTGTTTACAGGGGTGACAGTGGGAGGGGGGTGACAGGGTGTTTACAGGGGGTGACAGTGTGAGGGGGGTGACAGTGTGAGGGGGGTGACAGTGTGAGGGGGGTGACAGATGGGCTGACAGGATGAGGTGGCAGGGTGAGTGGGGGTTAAAATTTACTTTTTTCCCTGGTGGTCCAGTGGGGTCTGTAGAATATTGCATATTCTGTATGTTCCTATTCAAATACATATTAAGGTGTGGCTGTCTAATGGGTTAAACAGAACAGATGGTGTTTGCTACTCTGTAATATGAGGTCTCTGGAATGTGCTGTATAAGAGATTTGAGGCGGTCTTTATATAGGGAACTTCCTTATATGGCAGGGTCTAAACTAAACATTATGACGTAATTTGGGGTATATAGAGTCAAGGACAAAGGATTACGCTCTCTCTTCCTGCTACGATCCGTTTGCTCTCCTCTCTGATGTCAAGACGACTCTCTGTAACATCGTTAAGAATTACCATCTGTTAAGTATATATAACTGTTTCCTGTTGAATGTAGAATAAATACTCATTATTTATAAAGAACGTCAGATTGTGTATTACTAATTTTCAATAATATAGACATATATTATTGTGGCGAGCATTTGGCCCAAGACTATATATACAAAAGACGTATATATATCAATCAACTGAAGATAAGAAGAAATATCTATATATATATACATAAAAGACTTAGTCAACTAAAGAAAAACACAGCCAGTTATTACAGTGACAGATGGGGTGACAGTGTGAGGTGGCAGGGTGAGGGGGGTGACAGGTGGTGTGGCAGTGTGAGGTGGCAGGGTGAGGGGGAGTGACAGGGTGAGAGGGGGTGACAGGGTGAGAGGGGGTGACAGGGTGAGGGGGTTGACAGGGTGTTTACAGGGGTGACAGTGGGAGGGGGGTGACAGGGTGTTTACAGGGGG